CTATAGTCTCTCAGATAGATATTTGCTTATATAAATAGTCACTTCTACATAATCCAATGGCGATCATGACAAACAGTTTTTAATGGCTTATAGTAGCATCTATAAAATTTCATGAGAAACTGTATTTATGGGCTTAAAATATCTTAGAAGCTTTTTACGAAAATTTTGTCTATAAATTTTAAATGTTAAGTTTTAAATATTTCCCAAATAATTACCCTACTCGCACTATAGGCGTCTTGAATTGTTATTTTTCTCAGATATTAAACTCCATCACCATTTCTCATTTATATAAAAATAATATTGCAGAAAACTATCTTGAAATTTAATAATATTATTTTGTTTTTATATGCATGTATATTCAAACAGGCAACTTGCATTCAATTAATAATCTCATTCGAATTCATATTCAAAGTTCCTGTATGAAAAACCTTCTATAATAAAATATTCATATATAAATGAAAATTTAATATTCATGTATCTATTATGTGTGCATATATTAAAGTATATAAAATTTAATGGCCCATCATTATTTTAAGAACCTATTTTGTAAAATTTATATACAATATAAATAAATGTATATTATAACCAAAGGACTCACCTTTTATTATCAATTTTTTTTTTATTTTTATATTTTATGATATGAAACTCTTGTATACTTAATCCTTAATAATTTAATTCCTTTTTGTTTGTGTTATACTCATATACATATATATATATACATTTATAAACATAAGATGTTAATTTCAGTGCCAATGATCATCAAGAGGTACTTTATAATATTTTTTAATAAATAAAATGTCACTAACAATATAACAGATTGTTTCGATTAATTTTTGAGTATAACTCCGTGCATGTGTTAAACAGGCGCATTATTAAATATGAATTGGAAAATTTAGAACAAGTGCTTTCTAATGAATATCTACGTTAATAATAATCTGTTCACATTTCAGAGGCACATCACTTTAAAATTCAAGAAATTTGAAATTTTCATTTTTAAAAAATGTCAATTTTCTACATTACCTTTACAATGGTATATAGCAGTGCATTTTGTTACTAAACACCCTGTATATGTGTAGAAACCTTTTATGTACAAAAATTATATAATTTTTATAAAGATAATTTATTAACTTGTTTAAATTTATTTATTATTATTCATTATTGTATGTTTTTTTTTGTTTTTTGATAATTTTAAGGGTATTCTTTCATAAATTTTCAAAAATGATACAAAAATAAACAAAAAAAAAACTTTATACTCTTACATTTTTTATATTATATTTTTTTTTTTTGAGTGTGTGTATGAGAAATACAAGTATGAATGAATGTTTTTGATTTTTAATTACACTTATCCTTCGTATACAATGGGATAAATTTGTATATGACATTTTATTTGATTCAAAGTGTTTTATTTGATAGTTAAAAGTGATAAAGTTTTTTTTTCGTTTTATTATTCATCACTTGAGAAAATTATAACGTTACTTATATAACATGGATTAATTTATTATTGTAATTTAAGGACCACAAATAAATTACTTTTTTTAATGTTTCTACTTAAATTGTAAAAAAACTATAACAGAAGAAGAGGATTAAAACGATTTGGGGCAGTGGCAAATCCAATATTTATTATAGTGGGTCCTTAATTCTTTAATTATAGAGGAGATAAAATTTTATTTGATTTCGGCATATATATACAAATTACACATTATACAGACATAATAATAATTTAGGAAATTAATTATTGGGTTAAGTTAGTATTTGATTATATAATTTGAATTACAATAAATTATTAAAACCTCTTACAATTAATATTGCAATAGGGAAGTAACGACCATCGATAAACTTTGCAATGCACACAATAAAACAAATTATAAAAAAAGACTTGTAATTAAACAGTAATATTATTATTTGTTCCCAATTTTCTGATATTTTCGAAAATTCATTTTTCGAAATCGAAATTAATTCGTTATTAAAGCAATGTATGAAAAGGCGGAGACCCAGATTCTCCACAAAGGAAGGCTAAGGCCATAACAAAAACAAGGGGAGTATGCCACATATTGGTGAGCCAGAGCAGTCCATAGCCAAACAAGCATTGGAATGGAATCCCTAGGGTAGAACGATAGGTAAAGAAATAGCAGCAACAGAGAAAACTTGGGCACAAACAAAATCTATCGCTCAAAATAGAGAAAGATGGAGAGGTTTAATGGTAGCCTTATGCTCCTTAACAGGAGCTTGTAAAGAATAAAAAAGAAATTTAATTCGTCTAGCTTAGACACGAACCAAAAGCTTTGAACTTAATTGCAGACGTGGGATTATATTTTTTATAAAATTTTTATTTTGGAAAATATTTAATAATATTATTTATTTATTTTTGAAAATTTTTGAAACATTTCTACCTCGGTTTTTTTAATCCAAACTACAACTCTAAAATATCTCTAAACTTTGTACAACAAATTTGAAAATACAATTTTTTTTTTCTAAATATTTAGTTTTGGATTCGGATTCCGAATGGTAACTCCGATAAATAATATAAATTCAACTCATTGCGAAGTAAAGTTCACGATTCGGATAAGCTTTGTGTCATATCTGGTATATTAGGATCCGATTTCAACACTGATGTACCGCCCTCTTTATGGTCTGTTATTACTTTCAATTTATTAATTACAGAGATGTTGAAGGCTTTTCTCTTTAATTGCTTCATGGATCATAAAAAAACCTCCAGATAATTAATGCCACCTCTTACGTGGCATTACAAAATTGAATGTGAATTATAATTTGAACCAGGACAAAGCTACTTGCATAGCTACTTATTTTTAAGTTTATTTACTATACAAATTATGCGCTAAATCAAACAGAATATTATTTTCTAGAAATTACTCAAGAAATTTTGTATATTTATTTAGTCAATTGCAATTTAATTTTCAATAGTATATAAATTTAAAATCAATATTTTAAAATATAATTTAATAAATTTTAAAAATTATTTTAAAATTCTCAGCAAATTTTGTAAATCAATAAAATGTTAAAATTAACGTGTTTTTCTTACGTTTGACGTAAATCAATTATATAATTTATTATGCAGTAAACGACTCACACAATGTACAGACAAAGAAAAATTTAAATCAAACGCTTAATAATAAATTTAATTAAATTTATTTCTAACCTATTTATATAAAAAGAAATAATTTATTTTATAAGGATGATAAATTCTTAAATCACACCTAATTCTAAAAAATAGAAATTTAAATTCAATTCACTTGCTCACAATTATACGAGTATTTTATCATTTTTATTCTATATTTTAAAATAGTTAATGCCGCGTTTAATTTCAAAGAAAATGGCGCTTCATGAAATTAATTAATAATATCAAAATTAAAATCTCATCACCATTTATTATTAAAAGTGACTTAGTGCTTAAGTTTGACAGTGACTCCAACATACATGCTCACATTAAACGCGTAATTTTATTTTGAAATTTTTGCATTAAAACTAACAAGTTACAAAGGTATGTCCGTAAATACAAAATGTAATATTAAAGAAATTTAACACGTGCGTTTTATACGATTATAATATTTTACCTTATGTAAGCAAGGTGTCATCGCATGTCCCGTCACAAAATAATAAATTTTCACAATGAATTTTCAATGCTGTTTAATGAATTTTAACTACTTTAATATTAAAGAACATTATATTAAATGTTATGGCAATAAATTAGAAATCAGTCCATGCATTAAACATACACACATATGTACATGTACCTTATACACAATATACATATACTTACATATTATGTATAAGATTAAAAATCTTTCCACGAATATCTTTAATATTTAAAAATAATAGACTGGACAACATAAAATTCTAAAAATAGACCTATTTTTAATATTATTATAAAATCATTCCATCAATATTCGATTAGATTTGGTTCTGTATTTTAATGGGCCAATTCAATAACGGAGAATTTTTTATATAAAAAATATATAGGTGTTATAAGATCACATAGTAATTTGATTTTAAATAGAAATAAGAAAAAACGTGTTATAAATAAATTAAAACGTGTTTAAATTTTTTAATTATGAAATCTTAACTGCACCTGATAACTTACCATGTCTTATTTTAATTGTATTAAGAATAAACTAAACGTATATTGTATAGCCTCTTGCCTCAACTCAATTTTCTTTTCAAATGTGTTTAGATGAGTTCAAATTTTGAATCAATTTAAAATACAAGTTACTTTTGAAGTCTGCACTTTCTGATCACAAATTTTCTAGTAAACTTATGAACTAGTTTGAATTCACAATTAATTTAGTTACGTGCGTAATTTACAATCATACATCATAGTGAATGTTGAATTTTAAATAGATTTTTTCACTGAATTTAATAGAAATCGTACAGAATATCTTAAATTGGTTGTAAAGACGGAAGTCTTATATGAAATGCAAGTACATACGCACTTTTTCAGTAAACTTTTTGAATTAAACAACAAATTCGATATTTTATATTGTTTCAAAGTGTTAAAAGGATTAAACTTAATTTCGTATCCCTTTAGCTTTAAATTCGAAAAGAATGAGAGTTTAAAAGCGTTGGTATGAGGGAAGTATAAAACGAATTTGACCAATGTAAATTTGCGGTAAGAGTTTTATAGATTTACCAAATAATTTTTTAAGCATTAAAACGAAATCAAATAAATTTTCAATATCCCATACTAATGCAAGAAAAACTATTCAAAATTTATTGTTTTGGCAACTTCATCCGTCTCATATAATATCAATTAGCTAACCAAGCTATTTATTTAACCCTTTCTTTCTAATTGCAATCGTATAGCTTCAGATTATATCATTGTGTGTCAGATTAAGATTTAATCAATTATTCCTCAAATGTTATTCTTAATAAAAGTCTAGAAATTTAAACAGCCTGAAAAAATAGTTTTCCCATTAAAATAGTCGAAATTCATTAGTACATTAAAAAAATTAGAAAAATATTATAAAAAATATGTTGAATACGAAATGGAGGCGATGCATAAAAAGACCTGTGAAAGAAAAGGTTTAGTAATCAAATTATTTGGTATGGTAATGCGAAAAATCATTCTATTTTCCTCTAAACTTTGAATATTACTTCATATTACGTAGTCCATAAAAATTGACGCACAAATCTTAGCCATCAATTCAATTATTTTTTACATTCACCTTAAAATAAAAACCAAATTTCATTTTCATATAAATTTGTTCATATAGGTATGAACTAAAAATAAATTTCACTTTAATTAACTAAGAAATTAATCTTTTTGAACTTGTTATTTTGAACAAATTACCTCACAAATCAAAAAGTCAAACCCATGTAAACTATTGAAACTTTTATGGAATTCAAAATTCCTTTTCTTTCTGTTCTTACACCCAAAAATACAAAATTCACATTCCAAACCTTTTTTTCCCCTCCTATCACCTATTCTTATTTATTATATCGTATTTTTTCACATATTTTTATTTCCTAATTTAGAAATATTTAGGTGATTCATAGATTTCCGATCGAATTTTTTCCGATGAAATTATAATGAAAATAACTAAAAAGGGTAGCTATATAAAGAGCTGCTCAATTCTATTTACACCGTACAATGTTAGAAAAATATCAAATAACTTTAATTAGTTTTAAATTAAAATTTAACTCTTCAAGTTACCCTAATAACTTTTGATATAATTTTTCGGAAATTTTCAAAAACAGAAAATATTAAACGCAATCCTGGCATATTAAGAAAATTTCTTATTGATATTTTAACATAAAAGACAAGTACCTATATAATAATATTATACAGAAACATGACCCTAATATTGAAACCTCAAACCGAAAAACAAAAAAACAAAAACTTCTTAAATTTCAATAAACAAAGGAAATATTTTAATACATATATACATACAAATACATTATTTATGTGTGATATTTTGTTAACTCGTGTATAATATTTTATTGGGTATATGAAGACAAGAAAACCACGTAAAAGCAATCGTCCTTAAAATCGGAATAAATTTTCATAAAATTTATATTTTTGCTCCTAAATTTTACATTTGTATTTATATACTGCTTATGAATGGGAATATCCTTAAAGAAACTCACTTGAAAAGTCCTTGAAAATAAAGACATAAAAATGAAATAAATATAAAAAAAATTTTTATTTTACTTTTTATTGTCGTTTTGTTTTTTAAGGGTCATTTTTATTTAATTTTTATTCTTTTTGCTTTTTTATAGGAATTCTTCGATATTGTGAGATCCCACCATCAGGGACATGTTGTACATATTTTATGGAAGGTAAATTAGCTGTTTCATCAAGATTACAATTGGAACGTAATGTTAAAGATTCGTTAGGGAAATTGTCATCTGTATTAGGAACACGAGCTATGAAATTTAACAGTAAGTTGATATTTTTATTCTAATATTATATTTATATGTATATATATATAATACTCATATATTGAGACAGAAATGATAACAAAATATTTTAATAAATTAAATTTCAATTGCTTTTCTTTCTCTTTCAACAAATAATTTTTTGTAATCAAGATTTCGAATTTTTATTTCAAAAAACAAAAAAAATTATTATGTGATAAAAATGGGAAATTTTTGAAATATGAGAATTTTTTGAACATATTAATGATTTACCGATACCATTATTACATTATTTTTCTATTTTTACCGCTATTAATATTATCAATAATATTATATAATTTTGTAAAAAAAAAATAAATAAATGGGTAGAATGGCGTAAAATGCTATTATTTCCCATAATTTTTATTTTAATTGCTATTATCGTTGACAATTTGTTAAAAGAAAAGTGAGAGGAAAATGAAGTGCACGTTAAAATGAACGCTTTTATGGGTTTAAGGAAAATATTTGATGTTGAGTAAAATATTTGAAAATTAAACTCAAAATTGAAATTTCATTTCTAAGAGAAATATTGACTGTTTTCACTTTTATTTAGACTTGCAAAATTAATCAAGGTAATATTAACAATATTGCGAATTTTTAGTCGTACTAAATTATATGAAGATTTAAAATTTCAATTAAGCAGTATTTGCATGTAACCACAGAATTTTGTATCAAGATTTTATATTTTCCGTTTAATTGCTAGATTAGTTATGTACCATAATTTTAGGGCTCTCTCAAGGGTATCATTTAAAAACGATGATTTTCTTCAATTGCTTAAACAACAAGGATTTTACATATGATAAAAAGCAATAATTTAATTGAATCTTTCTCAAATAAAAATTTGAATTCTTCCAATAAATTCTATCATTTGTTTTTTTCACGAAATCTTGTACACAATATGCAATAAAATAGAAAAATTAAAAATGTTATTAATTCTACTCCTCCAATCCCTATATATAAAATCCTATAATTCTTATAAATTAGCTACTAGAATAAAAAAGATTTCTCGTTCAAATTTTACTTATATTTTCTACTTTAATTTCGGAAGCAATTAAAATTTTAATTTAACTTTTAAATCAAAATTATTTTAAATTAAAACATAAATTTATATTAATGCGCATTTATTTATATAGGCGAATTTGCAACATTATTAGCAACATCTAAAAAAGAATTTCATACGATGTTTAAACGAACTTATGGTGTTATTTATGAACAAAATGCTTATGTTTTTGCTGATTTATTTGCTGAATTAGAAAAATATTATACACGTGGACGTGTTAATTTATCGGAAGCTATCGATACATTTTTTAATACATTATATCAAAAAATGTTTACAGTATTGAATGCACAATATCAATTTAATGATAAGTAAGTTTAATTTACTTTATTATTATTTATTTTTAATTTTATTATTATATTAAAATATTTATTTAATTGAAAACATGAAAAATAATTTCTAACAAAAATGTCAGGCATATTTATATAATTGACTTTAATATTATACTTATATTTTAACATCATCTAAGATCTCTAAGCAAAAGAATGCTCTTAACTCTGGGTTACTGTACCTTCACACTACATATTTAAAGATTTTAATAATTCCCTTTTGTGAATAATTGCTTGTTTATTCGTTATTCTTGTAAATTGATTTACTATAAAATTTAATAAAAAAAAAATACTCCAATTTCTCAATTACTCGATCTGCTGTTTCTCATAGAGTTTTCTTTAAGTATTATTATTCAAAGTTCTTAAATTTCTTTAATGGTGCTGTAGTGATTTTATACGAAACTCTTTTAAATAAAAAAAAAAAAAATAAGAAAATTACAATGTTTTCATTTTATCCTTAAATCATCAGTAATCATTTTATCCTTAAGAATTACAAGATAAAATTTATAGTACGAAAGGCCAATTTAGTATCTTTGTAATTAAATACCAATTTAAGAAAATTGTTAGAAAATATTTTAAGCTAGTTGGAGAATCATTGAACCATGCTCCAAAGACTCAATGAAATTTTTATTTAAAGACCCAAATATTTTTGGTACATTAAAATAAAAGGGATAACACTTTTATATACAAAAAAACTTTAATAATCCAAAATAACAACGGCAACATTCTTCTTGGAACATGGAAAATTTTCCGCTCAAATTTGAACTCAATTAGAAATTCTATCGATTTTGGCAATTGCGTATGAATTTTTCCAATATGACCTCTCACATATTATATTGTTTTTCAATAATTTAAATTAAAGTTTTACGCTTTAATAATATCAACAATCTACAATTATTATATCATATTTACATAAAGACCCAATATAAGGAAATGCTGATCAAAGAATTTGAATTTCCATTTCTAGCCCACGTTACAAGAATTTTTAATTTACCATTCAAAAATAGATATAAATATATAAATTGAAAAAAAGAAGTTTCTTTCGGTAAAAATTCGGTATCTCTATGGCCAAATTTTAAATTATTTAAAACCATAATATTCTGCTTTATATAAACTTAAAATTAGAATATTTTTTATGCTCTTACCTAAAAATACAATATCCAGAAAAAAAATACGTATTGTTATATGTACATATGTATGTATTAGAAGAATTAATAAATTTAAAAATAAAATTTGAAAAATTTAAAAACTCATATTAGTCGACCCGAATGAATCATGATGTCAGGTATTGTTAAAAAAGAAATATTTCTTTCTAAATCTCTTAAATCTACGTTTGCCAATCTTATTTTGACAAGCATTTACACTAAAAAATAAATTTAAGATTTACGATTTCTGTTTATATACAATTATATTTTGTAATAGAAAAACTTTAACAGCATGATAATCGCCAAATTTTCGAATTATACGTGAAAGGAACTACGTTTTCCCGGTACCTAGATGGGCATAGTTACGGCATTTAAAAAGGTCAAGTGCGAATCTATACTATGTTTTCTCCATACTGTACTACAATGTTTTAAAAATTAAATATTTCGCCTCACAATCTGATAAAATTGATAAAAATTTTAAAATTCGAAATTTTCACTTAATAATACCGTATAAGTAAAATAAAATCACCATATTCTTATAACAATGCCAAAAATTATGAGAATTATTATGGTTTTCTTACTATGTATACAAAATTAAAAATGAAAGCAACAAAGTAGATAAATTTAAAATGTGAACTATAACATTTTTCTTGAAAAAAAAACCATAGAACATAATATGGTCAGTTTACCAAATTATTCGGAAACCAACACATTTATTTAAATTTTAATATTAATTTTACTTTTAATATTTTCACATGCTATTTTCATGTTTTAACTATCCAACACATTATATTCAGACATTAACATGTGTATGTATGTGTATGCACATTTGTTGTATATACATTTATTGTATAAACATCTATTGTATATACATATATACATCTCAGCGACAAAAGACTATTATCTCGGAAAACGCTAGTTTTCAGATTTCAAGTAGCAATATAATCAAAAACTTTTTGTATGAAATTGTATGAAACTGTATGAAGTTGTATTAAGCTGTATGAGATAGTGTTAAAGCCTTCCATTGCATTATGTACATGCATTCATACAAAATTGCGTTACAGTTTTATAAAAAACCATTTTTTCAGTTTCTATCGAAACTGATTATTTTAAAGTTGATATACAATTTTGTCGTAGGAGTGCTGTCTATAATCATGTAACAAATATGTATAAAACATTTTTTTACAAAATTTTGTATAAATGCCCAAAATACGCAATTTTTAATATATACAACTCATAAATCATTTATATTTCTAAATTAACTAATTAAAATATTTAAAATCAAAAATAAAACAAGAAAAAAAAAGGAATTTAGACATTTATTTGAATAAGTAAAAAATAATAAAAATTCTTAAATGTTGCGGTTACAATTTTTAAATTTTCTTTTTTTAATGAGGAAATTCTTTTGCCATATCCTTCCTCTCATAAAATATTGCAAAATCTCTTATACAGTTTTCCATACATCCATTCCAAAATATGTATATTAAGGTAGAGTGCTGTTTTGGTGTAGTGTACGAAATTTCCATCATTTTTTCATAATAATTATTTTGACTTCCTATGTGTCTGCATATCTTAATCGTACATTCATCTCATTCTTATTTATTTTTATACGCTACTCAAAATCAATTTTTTTTTTCCATAAGGTTCAGTCACTTTCTCATAATTTTTCTTCATGAGACATCAAATATGCATACATACCACTGTTCCAAAAATACATTTCTTACACACTTATACATAATGTGTGACTATTTTTATATATTTTTGAAAATAATTTTTAATATTTAAAATTTTTTTTTTATTTTATTTAAAAAAAAAACACAAAAAGAAACCAAAAAAAAAAATTATAAAATTAACTTTTTGTACACAAAAAAAAAGTAAAAAAAAAAATTAAAAACAAAAATATAGCGAAACAGAAATAAAAATGTCAACCTGTTGGAATGTGTCTTATAAGAAAAGGAAATAAAAATTTTGAAAAAAAAAAACAGCAATCATAAATAAATAAGTAAAATAAAAATATTCACTCCTTTATATACGAAATACTTCCGTTCGAGAGCACAAGTTTTAAAATACACAAAGATTATACACAAATTTTATAATTTTTTAACCTCTGACAACGATTTCCAAAATATGCTAAGATTTTAGGCAAGTTTTAGTATGTTGTATAGGATTGTTTTTAAAGTTATTCAATTGGAAATCGTTTACACGTTGGTGTTAGAAATTTTCATATTTATTATTTAGTTAAAAACAATGTTTTAATTATATAAATTCATGAAAACGCGCCCCCCAAGTAACAGGTACTTTTTGTAAGACTTTTACAAAATTCAAATATCCCAGATATTTAAATATTTTGAATTTTTCTAGAAAAACTCATTTCGTAGAATTTACCCTAATTTTAACTAACAAAAGACGAATACACCCTACCCTATTCAATATATCAAAATACCAATTAGTTTTTAATGATTAATGAAAAAAATTATTCGATACTGCTGTACTCATTATGTGTAAAAAAATATTTTTGAATAAAAATTAAAGCAATATTTCGGTTCAATATGAATTTATAGTCCTTATTTTTTTATTGGAATTCTATAATTCATTCTGCATTTTGCAAAGAAAAAAAGCATTACTCCAAGAGATATGCAATACTTCAATTACTTACGAACAAAAATTGTTTGATTTTAATGAAAAACCAATGCTTCTTGACGTAGACATTAAAATAGCTATTCGAAACAAACTGTTGCTGTCATAAGTTAAAGTCGTCTTTGCCGATTAACCTGTTTAGACTGACGTTCAAGAAATGTTATATTAAAATTTTACAGAAAATTAAATAATTTTTGTATTTAATTTAACAATTTTTGTTAAAAACCTCTTTTATTCACACAAATTTAATAAATATGTCAAATAAGTTCAAATTTCATTTGTTTTCCAACAATATTAAAGTATTTAGCGCTTTAAAATTAAAACATTTTGACATATTTGTTTTTGTAAAATTTAACATTGTCAAACATAATGCGTGAAACTTTTTGAGATTTTAATCTTCAGAGTTGCTTCTTTTCATACAAGTGGAACACAAATTTTCTTTTCGAACTTTTACAAAACAATAGGAAAAAAAATCATTATATTCAAATTTTTCTTTTTAAACTTATTACAAACGAAAATTTCTCAACTTTTGTAATAAAATTAAAAAATAACAAAAAAAAAATTCAAAATTGTTCGAAAATAAAATTAAAGAGTTTTCCGAGTAGGTATTTTTTGTTGCTTTTTATTATTTCGAATCTTGAGTGAGTTATGAAAATTATATTGTGAATGCATCAATTTAATTTTTTTCGTACTCCTACGCGAAAAAATAAAAAAAAAAATAAATTAAAACAAATTTTTTTCGGAAGAAAATTTTTATTGGAAAATTTTTCATTTTCTTCTCTACTTTTTTTTTTTTTTTTAATATAAAAACAAAAACAACTCATATATATTTTATGTCCATTATAAAATTAACCATTTAATTTAATTTATAAAAGTTATTATGGTTTATAAATATATAAGAGAAGAGTGAAAATTAAATTCCAATCCCCCGTTCCCCTGCCGAATATATAAGAAAAAGTTTACCTCTAATATAATAAAAATATATTTATAGTATTTTAATTAATTGATAAATATTAGAATTATAATTCAAATCAACACATTAAGAAAATAAAATGTTCAAGAATGAATATAAAATTAAATTTATAGCCTAATTCATATATTAAAAGAAAAAGGCACATTTTAGAGTTTTTGTTGAAAGACCACTACATTAATTGCATGTAATTTGAATACGCACCTTTTTGAGCAAAAACACGTTCTAAG